ATATATATATATATATATACACACACATATAGTAAATTATCAAAGAAAATATGGCAATATCTGACAAATATCAGATATTGAAGCAAACTACTAGCTTAAGGGCATTCAATTTCAATGTTAATTTTTGCAACAGCTCCTTCTGTGACATCATAGCCTTGCAGAGCTAGGATTTCAGCAGTTGCTTTGCCATGTGCTTCCCACTCCTGGCAAAGGCCAGGCAAAAATCAGTGGACAGAAATGGGGGTAGTGGTTTCCTGACTCCAGGTTTGAGAAGGTGCAGGCCCAGGAAGTGAATACATATCATCAGTAAGTAATTACGCTTATTGAAAAATGAAGTTATAGGGCAGCGCTGTGGCTCAGTGAGTAGGGCACCAGCTCCATATACTGAGGGTGGCAGGTTCAAACCCGGCCCCAGCCAAACTGTAACAAAAATACAGTTGGGCATTGTGATGGGCACCTGTAGTCCCAGTCACTTGGGAGGCTGAGGCAAGAGAATCACCCAAGCCCAAGAGCTGGAGGTTGCTGTGAGCTATGACACCACAGCACTCTACTGAGGGTGACAAAATGAGACTCTGTATCAAAAAAAAGAAAAGAAAAGAAAAGAAAAATGAAATTAAAGCCAGGCATTGTGGCAGTTGTCTAGAGGCCTGGCTACTCAGGAGGGTGATGCAAGAGGATTGGTCCAACCATGAGTTTAAGTTTGCTGTGAACTATGACATTGCAGTACTCTACTAGGGTGAGAGAATGAAACTGTGTCTCAAAAAAAAGAAAATGAAATTAAAATATTTTTCTTCTGCTGGGTGTGGCCGCTGGGTGTGGTAATCCAGCACTCTGGGATGCAGAAGTTTGAGGTTGCTGTGAATTCTGACACCATGGCACTCTACCCAGGGTAACAGAGTGAGACTCTATCTCAAAAGAAAAAAAGAAAAGAGCAGCAAAGATGCAAATGTCTGTCTGTCTTCCCCCCCACACACTCTTTCCTTCTCTCTCATACTCCCTCAGGACCCGCCATACTCACCTGTGGAAGACAGCTGAGCAGTCAGTGCACACAGATGTGTGGCTGTCAAATGGAAAGAGCACATCGCCCTCCCTGCAGAGTTCACACACGAAGCCTTTGGCCTGGCACCGCTAAGGGGGACAGTGTGGGGGTTGGGGTGGGCAGGTTAGTTCCAGCCCCAGAGGGCATTGTGCTGGGGCAGAGGAAGAATACCTGTGGCCCTCTGGAGCAGACCCCAGCCCGGAGCAGTGAAGAGGCCCACCTCACAGTCCAGCTTGATATGCTTGGCAAACAGCGTGTGGATCTCTGTGAGGGAACAGCCCAGCCGGCCCAAGCGCACATCCAGGAGGTCCTGGACTGAGTACATCTCATCGTTCTCCACAAAGTGCTGTCGGTCCTGGAGCTGCCAAGTGCCCACAACCATGACCTGGCACCAGGGAAGGACCCAGAACCACCCAATGCCACCCAGTGCCAGGGAAGTGACAAACTTCAGATGATGTCTGTGTCTGGCTCCCAGGAGCAGAATGCAAGAGCCCAAGGGGGCCATTGGGGAAAGATGGGACATGGACCCCTCCCCATGCACACTGTGCCCCTGACACTCCACACCTCTCCCTGGTTTGACTGGTCTATGGTGTCACCATGCTGACATGCCACCTGTGTCCCTGCCCTGCCTGAGAAGGCTCAGTTGGGTTCACCACTGCACATATGTGCAGAAAGGCTGCAACAACAGGTCTGCTGATCTCAGAGCTTCCCAAATTAAAATAATGAGAACACTTCTGTGTGTAGAATATCTGTTTGCTTTGTTCATTGGGAGAGAGTTTTGGGAGACCCTTTGCTAAAGGCACTAGATACACAAGCTGCCAGGCTATTTGACGGTGCCTGTCACTGGCTCTCTCTGCATCTCCCACCTGGGGCCAGTACTTCTGGCAGTCTAACCTGCAGCAGCAGACGTGCCTCCATGGCCTCCTTGCAAGTGATGAAGTATGGCTTCATGAGCAGGATGTCCTGGCGCAGTTTCTGAGGACAAGGAGTGTGGGTGGGCTTCCTCACCACAATACAGGGCCAGCACAGTGCCCATGTATGCATGGCTGAGGGGTGCCCCTGCTCATAGGGTGTCACCTTACCCTCTGAGGACAGTGCCCTCAAGTTCAAATCATAGCTTCTGGGCTGAACTAGACCTTGAGGTTCATTTGTCGCTGCCTACAGAACCCTCTACTCACCTTACCTCAGCCCCACAGGCATGAAATTCTACCTGTCTGTGGATCACAACCTCAGGAACACCATGGGGCCACATCTGACATAAAGACAAACTTCCAGAAAAATCCCAGCTCCCTCGTCAGCCTGTGGCCTCAGCATCTCAACTTGCTGCCTCGGTTTCCTCCCCTTTCACCACTCCTGTGAGATGGTGCCACCTCCACCCTGAAGGGCAGCACCCTCTGTCCTGAGCCCATACCCCACCTCCCCTCATGTCTGGTGAAGAGAAGGGGCCTCAGACAGCTACTGAGATCTAGAATGTCTGAACTGAGATAGTATGATGGTCTGAACTAAGATCGCTATAAGTGTAGAATAAACATTGGAACTGAAAGATGTGGCCAAAGGAAATGTAAAATATCTCAATAGGCTGGGCACTGTAGTTCACACCTGTAATCTCCCGCAGAATTCTGGGAGGCTAAGGTAGGTGGATCCCGTGAGCTCAGGAGTTTGAGACCAGCCTGAGCAAGAGCCAGACCCTGTCTCTACTAAAAATAGAAAAACTAGCCAGGCATGGTGGCAGATGCCTGTAGTCCTAGTTACTTGGGAGGCTGAGGCAGGAGGATCACTTGAGACAAAGAGTTTGAGGTTGCTGTGAGCTATGACAGCTTCCATGATGACTCCATGGCACTCTACCCAGGGCATCAGAATGATATCTGTCTCAAAAATTAAACTAAATTAAAATGCTTTGTTTGTTTGTTTGAGACAGAGGTTCACTTTGTCACCCTCAGTAGCATGCCATGGAGTCTTAGCTCACAGCAGCCTCAAACTCTTGGGCTCAAGAGATCTTCTTTTTTTTTTTTTTTTTGAGACAGAGCCTCAAGCTGTCCCCCTGGGTAGAGTGCCGTGGC